GTGTGTGAGTGAGCCAAACAATAATAATCATAATAGAGGGAAGAAACTTTTGATTCGCTGGATTAATTAGTTGGAAATAATGTTTATGTTAGCAACAGAAGAAGAAAGAAGAAAAAATTCTGTTATCAAATGCTTTATTCCATGCAACATTATTATTATTATTATTGCAGTTTTATTGTTCCTTGTAACTTATATAAATGTATAAATCCACAATTAATTGATAATTATCTAACTTTATTCATTTCTATTTTCTTCTTTACATTTTCACCTTTGCCTAATTTAGTCGACCAATTTCAAACGCTTAACCATTGCCATAACAGTTCATCTTTATCAATCAAATGGAATGAGGTGAAATGATGATTTCAACGAAAATTTTGAATTCCTTTTCTGTTTAACTTTCACTTCAACATTTGCCTGTAAATCTACAAGAAAATAATTTCCTTTTCAACTTAAATTCCCTGTTTAATGAGCAACCCAGTGTTGGCCAAGAAAAGAGGTTGAGCCAAAAACTCACACTTTATCTTTAATTCTGTTTACCTTTTTCATCATTTTGCTTCTTCTCCTCTTCTCATGTCTAATACAGATTCTTCTTGGCTCAACTTGACTGATTTCAAAGGCAATTGAATTCTGTGTTCGGTCAACTATGTCCATCTATAGCCAACTCATTACCTGTTAACAGCAAGTCAGTCGAGAAAAATAAGCAAGTAAACTTGTAGCAAGGAGCAAAATAAAAGAGAAGAAGATGAAGAAGAAGATGAAAAAAGGAAAAGAAAGGTAAAAGGACGAAAACAAGAATGACCAATTGATTACCTGTACAAATGGTGAGATGTGATATTTCATCAACATTCAATATAAATTGCAACTTCTCTCAGTTTAACCAGGTTAACCTTCACTTGGTTAAATTTGTTTCCTCATTTTTTGCACCTTCATTCAGCTCAATTCAACCCTACCAAGTTGATCATTATCTAAACTCCCAGATAATTATGTTCAACACAAAGTAAAGGTAAACACTGTTTTTGTAGACTTTTTTTCCTTCCAAAGAAAAACAATCAACAAAACAACAAAATTAACTCTCCAATGCTCATTGCCAATATCATTTTCAATATTTCCATCTAAACAGCAAACACTTTGATAGAAAAAAACTCCAAGTTATTTTGCAAAGAAAAATATTTACTTGCAATTTCCTCACCAAAAGTTGACATTTCACTGAAAATTGGTTCACCTTTTGTGAGATGTGATAATTCACTTGCAAACTTTTGGTGAAATAAAGTCTAGATTATCATGAAAAGAAATTCAATTGAGAAAATTGTGCTTCTAATTCGAGTTGAGCAACTTTTATTTTTCGCTTTTTTTCATTATTTCAAGATGTTCTCTTGGATGGATTATCATATAACATTACAATCTTCATTTATCATGAGCTATTCCAGGTAATAAATGAGCTTTTACTTTTTTCTCCTTATTCTCCTTGCTTTTACTTTTCACTTTCGTTTATTCATCATAATTCGTTGTTGATTCATTGAACAATTCATTAAACTCTTTTTGATCATTACAATGCTGTAACTTGTAAAATGATTATATTCACTTTCTTTTGATAAATTGTTGTTCTCCTTGTAAGCCGATGTGAAGTGATTTGAATTATCATTACAAGAATATTCATTTACATTTTACCAGTCAACATGAAACTATCTCAACTTTCATCCTCTTTTCTTCTTCTTCTTCTTCTTTCCCTCATCATATTACTCGGTGCTAATTAACATGAGCATAATTTGCAAACCAACAAATTGCAAGATTTGCCTTTTTCTTCCTTTTCCCTTCCCAATAATATTGTAACACTGTTCAGCTTCATTTACAGCCGAGAAATAATAACAGTCCAAAATGATTACTATTTAAATCATCATTGTGCTTATCAAGATAATTAATATTAACATCAACATTATCATTAATACATTATTGTTTTAATATGATAATTTTCGTCTTCACAAGACTAAATTAACAGGCTCAATGGAACAAGGCAAAAATGAAATGTTTATTTCCATTTTGGTTTCCGGAAAGGCGGAAACATGAGATTCTTGGTGTGTCATGTTTGCTAATTGTTGAAAACTGATTGCAGTCCATTAGAGTTTACTTATCAAGAGAACAAATTTTTACTAATTGTTACTCAACATTAGACTCGTAATCGAAAAAAACTTTGAAAGTTGTTCCAAACTTACTTCCTACTTGAATGACTTTCCACGTGAAAAGTGGCAACACAATGTTCCACTTTTAGTGTTACAAGATCGACTCTTTCCCATCAAAGCTGATGATTGAACACGTCTTTGCGTGACTTTGCATTTCTTTATTTTTATGAACATTTCGTTTTCTTAAATTTAGACTTTCTATTTATGGATTGTCTTGTTATTTATTTTTGACTTTTTTCTTAATTTCTTCTACCGGTAACCTTTCAATCTTGATCATGATGATCTGGAGTCTAGTCAAGATGAACATTATTCAAAATTACTCATAAACTTACTGTTTATCAACTTGTCAGCTTTTGATTGATAGAATATCTTTTTTACTGTTTTTACGGCGATTTCTTCATTTCAGTTTCATATCCGAGAATCATCACGGCATTTGATAATCTGTTATATAGCTTATACTCAAGCTATTTATGGAGTGTAATTACTCCAACTGGGAGTCAGTTTTAATTTAGATATTACGTTTTTCAGCAGATGAAAGCTTATCTCATTTTTGTATTTGCCAAATGCATCCAAAGTTTTATTTGTCCAATTCATCATGAAATTGATATTTAGTGGGAGAAACCTTAAAATGTTACATTTACGAACTTCAACTTCAACCGATTCATTCATTTGTAAAATGGCTAATGAAAGTCAACAGAAGATCAAGATTAATCGCTCAATATTCAAACAAACATAAAAATTGTTTTCTGTTATTGCTTCTAATTATTCATTCTGACAATAATAAAAATTTATTTTTAAAAGTTCAAACTTTTCCATTATTATTCCTTTTTTCCATTCCACTATTACATCCAGCCCTAAATTTCATTAAACTTTTTGAAATTTTCTGTCAAAAGTCAATTTAAATTCGATATCAAAAATTATTCATTTTTTAGATGTTCCATTATTTAAAGAGCATTCTATCATGTAGAGATAAGTTGTAAACTACGGTTATAATCTTGAATCAAAATGGTCCATTCCATGTTGGGAATGAAGATGATGATGATATAACTTAAAGGATCTTAAATATTGCCGATAAAGCGAAATAAAGAAAACAAGGAAAACTTGAAATAACAAGGAAAAACTATTGTTTATAGCAAGAAAAGAAAGGCAACATTTTCATTGTTGAAGAAAAAAGTATCTTTCAATTCATTGGCTTGTTTGGATAAGCTTTTTGTGTCCAAAATCTGATGAACCTGGTAAATCTTGGGATAATATTACAATAAGAAAGGCGCAAAAAGCTAAAACTCAAAAGCTGAGTTGGCAAAGACGAAGAGAGAAGAGCAATGATTTGTATGTTTTGATATTAAATTGTACTCTTTACTGTCATTATTACATAAAGAAATGAAAAACAAAATTTTGCTTCTCACAAACCCACAACTAATCCCTTCAAGTCTCAACTTTTTACTTGCTCTTCTTTTTCATTCCTTTAGATTTTATTGCTTTCAGCTACTTAAGGTAAAGGTGAAAATAATCTGAATCACCTCTACATTATCACTGAGTTTCTCTTTGGTATTAAGTAAAGATTTTTGATGAGACAGACTTTCTTTTCATGGTGATAGAAAGCCATTAAAAAATGATTGAATTTTGAGATACTTTTACTTTTACGATTTATTATTAAAGTTTCAAGGGCTTTCAAATGTTGAAGAATAATCTGATTCAGTTGCAACTGTTAATTTATTAATGCAAATGCAACTGATTTTTCCAAGTCTTTTTTTCTCCGTCCAAGGTAATAATTCTCATTAGAAGGTTGAAAATCAGATTATCAGTTAATTGCATGTTTTTCTGGCTGTCAAATGGTTCAACCATTTGAGATGGAAAAAGTTTCAAAATTGATTCAACTAAACTCACGCAATCATCAAATTAATTAGATGAAATTTGAACTTGCTATGAGCATTACCTTGAGTCATGAACATTTTTTACTCTTAATAATTAACCAAAATTCTGATTATAATTGTTTGGTTCTCATTAAACTTGCAGTCCACTTCGTTAATGAAATTCAATTTATCGTCAAGAAAATATCCATAAAAGAGAAAAGTCAGAGCATCAACTTTGATACCAAAACCAACAGATTGAGCCAAGAAAACTCACCAAATAAGAATAATTGAACCTCGATTTAGCATATGAATTAAAAGTCTGAGTGAAAAACACTCATTTGAGAACCCCAAAAAATCGAAAGTAAGAAATGCAAACGAATCAATAAGTTTTGCTTTAAATAAAATTGTCTCTTCATAGGACGCAATCTAATAGGACACAATTTTTCTTCTATCGTATGATGAACTTTTTCGTTTGAATAGTTGAATAGAGTTTTCATTTTTACACAATCGTTACCAATTGCAATCGATATGCGTATCTGCCTGCCTGTCTGTCTGTTTCATTCAATTTCATCTGCCATCGAACGAAAATAAAGTTTTGTATGGAGTGTTGTTTTGACTTGAGACTGAACACCCTGAACAACTTTACGAGTTTAATAGTAAATTGTTTCGTTGTTTTCAGATGCCGAAATTATCAAATCATCATTTTTTCTCTACAATTTGCAGCTGAACGGATGAATTTTGAGATTTAATGTTGTTTCTTGATGCATAAATGTTATTCTTCGGTTCAATAAAAAGGCTCATAGAGAGTTTTCAGAGTTTTCAACGAAAAGGAAAAAGTAGCGAAAATGAAAGGAAACGAAAGTAGAAAGTATAATAATGAGAAAAGAAAAGTAAATGTTGATATGAACACATTTCAAGATATACATGTATTTATATTTATGTAGCTGAATATAAGGTATGATATATTTACCTTCTAATGATGGTGATGTTAAAGTTCGAGCTTGTTCAATAGTTCCTAAGGTGATGAGGAAAGAAAGGGAAAAGAGGTAAGAATATCATTAGCCAAGAGCATGTCAAATTATTAGGTCTTTAGTATAGTGAGTCAGGTCAGTGGAGCGATAAAAGGCTCTACAAAGTAATGCATCTCGTTTGTCATCCAAACCTTTTTTTCTCCTTCTTCTTCTTCTTCTCTTCATTTTCCCATTTCTTCTTTTCATCCATCGACCAACTTATTCCAGGTACATGAACATCAATCTACATGATACAACCACCTTTATATCTTGCCATTCGAACAACCTATTCGCCTTTCATCTTCATCATTGCCGTCATCATCATCATCATCTTCACATTTTCTTGTCTTCTTTTTTTCGCCTCATCTTTATCCACTTTCATTTTTCTTTTGTTATTTTTCTTGGTTAACTTGTCGAATGTAATAACAATATTAATATTGCTTTCGCTTTTCATGTTGTTTCGACCATTATTTTTACCCTTATTATAATAATAACTGATTTACATTGAGATAAACAGTTTAAACTGTATTCAGTGAAACATGGACTTTATCATGTTAATATATCAGATTGTATATTGTAATGTTGAAAGTGCAAGAGAATGATAAACATGAATGAATCATGGAAAAAGGTTCGACAATGTTGTACATTAGAACAAAATTGTCTTTTCTTTTCCTTTTTACCTTTTCACATCCAAAGAGAGAAACGACAATTTTGCCAATCCAATTGAATAATTTATTCATTAAAATGAAGTAATTGACCATCAAAGCACAAACAAAATCAACCAAATTAAAATATTTGCTCCATTTTCTTGCTCTTCACCCAGAAAATGAACATTAAAAGTTGATAATTAAAAGCAAACTCCAGAAGCACATTTCATCAATTTGTCTCAATTGTTTCCCTCTCTCAATAAGAACTAAATTCAATTTAAAAGCAAAAATTCCAAAGAGAAAGAGAAGTTCGAAAAAATTTGTTGCATTTCGCTCAGAGCCAAAAGTTGACATTAAATGCGACTTTTAAACATGAGAGGAAAATGGCTGGAAAAATGACAACTCTTTTCTTCTCGATTAACATTTTTCCCCAATTTCCAATTCTGTAAATGTTTTGTTCACATGAATATTAAATGATAAACTTGTGCGTTTCCATTGAAAGAGAAACATTTAAAGCTTATTAACATTATTTGCCATAATTATTGTAAAGTTGGACAACAAGGAATGATTAGTCAAAGTGTTGCTCTGGTAAAGGTTGAGGTTGACTTTGAGAGCAAATAGTAAATGGAAATGACGACTTTTTCAAATGAAAATCTAGTATCAACAATATGTTCTATTCTTTTGCTCAGCATCATCATGAATTCAATTGATGTTCCATTTGCAGAAGAGAGAAAAAACATGATGAAAAATATTATGTTTTCATTTCTCTTTTTGCACCCTTTTCATCACAATTCCATCAAATTTTCATTCCAACCATTTCTCCGTCTCTTTTAATATTTACATTATTCTTGTCACTGAATTCCCCAGTCTGTCAATTTTTCGCTCACTTTATCAGTCTCATGAGTTGACCAACCTTGGACATCAACTAACTTCAGAGGCTTGCGGCTTCCAAAGACAAACACTTCGCTAATGACTGTGATAATGGCTCTAATAACATCAATCGAGCAAAAGATTTTCCTTCTTTTCTAAATTTCATCGAATGATGAATTTCGAAATTTTATGAGCAATTCTTCATTCTTTTGGTTTCTGTTTTTTCTGACGAAAAATGTTTTACTATTTTATAAGTTGATATGAAGTTTTGTCAACAAAATGATTCAGTTTATTGATGAATTGGTGTGGATTGATTGAAAGAAGAAAATATCAATTTGAAAATTGGAATAATGAGAAATGAAAATCAAAGTTGCACCATTTGAACCAGAACATTAATCATGGAATATGCAATGGAATCGAGGAAAAAGGAAAGACAAAAAAGTAATCAATAGGCTTGATATTGATAGATTATCATTTTCACCCTCAATTTCAGAGAAGTATTACTCTACATGATTAATAGAGAGAACTTTTTCTGTCCAATTTGTGGTTCTGTGCATTTCATGATCTTCCAATTAACATTGAATGTATCAATGTTTCCAATTGGAAAAGTGAGGGAAAATGTTTTTTCGAATCTTGTCTCAATTATAATTTTTCAATGTTTTTAAATTAAACTTCAAATTGACTGTCTTTTTGTGCCTCCAATGAAATGCTGGGAAAAATTGCCAGTCTATGAATAAATGGATGCTAATGACATTACCCTTGAGCTAATAAATAACAAGAATTTATTGCACTGGAATTGAATGGAAATGATCCAGAACAGAATTCATGTTTTTCTTTTTTTATTTCAATCGATTCATAAAGTCAATGTTCTAGTCTTTTAATAAAGAAATGTGGAATAAATTGATAATAAAATAAAGGAAAAGCAATAAATTGAAAGTTTTATTCATGATTAGAGTTCTTTTGATTTTTGCGTTCAACTTTTATTGATATTGTTTTCTAATTGTTCATTCTTGTTGAACGATGAAAAGAAATGAAATGTTTTCTAAACTTTGCTCATGTTTTTAGTTTATTCGAGTTGAACTTTTAATTCACAAGTAAAATCAAATGCTGAGAACTTTTCTTTTCTCATTTCAAAGAGAAACATTTCTTTATTTCAATTTTTCTTTCGTACCGTCATTAGTCTTGTTGAATCTCTCACCTCATTGAGTTGGTAAACAGTTAAACCATTTCAATTGGAATCAATTGAACCAAATGATTGACTGGCATTAACATTAAGTTGCTAAAATTATCAACATTTATCTTCGTTCTTATGGTTAAAGCTTTTGTAGACTCTTCGAATCTAAATTAATCAGCTTTCTGATGTCTTTCAGTTCTGACGAGCCTTCTTCAATTGCAAAATGAGAATAAAGTTCATTAACATGAAACTGTTATTCCAATAACAAGCATAATCGGATTTTGATATAATTTCATTTTTCTTTAAATTTTGTTCTTTTGATGGTCAATCCTTCATTTCATGTTTTGCAAAACTTGTTCTTTACTCTGCACAGTTGTGTATCGAAATTTCATCGAGCGTTCATATAACATGGAAATATTTTGTTAACCTTTTATCACTCGTGTCACTGACTTTTATAACTCACTATTTATCAATTTTTGGAGGTTAACTTACCTTTTCTTGCATCTATTGTGTATATTGGTGCTAAAGCGTCATCCTTATACCAAAGTACAAGAGCAACTGAATCATCTGAGGTTGGCGCTGTAACATCACAAGGTAAAGCAACTTTACCCTTAACAACTGCCGTGTACAATATGGATGCTGAAAAGAGAGAGAGAAAATTCAATTACAATCATTTGCATAAAACTCAATATTGACTTTACACAATTGATAATCACGTTTGAGCTTCATTAGAGCTTCGATATTATTTTGAAAAAGTTTTTAGCGCTTTCTGTTTAGTTCAAACTACGATATAAATTGGTTTCTTATTGAGAAATACTTTTCGAAATGGTATTTCTCTTTGCTCAATCTTTCGTTATTGGGTAAGTTGTGATTGAAAACGACTGAAAAAAGTCTATTTATATTGAGCATTTGAAACTTACCGAAAGGCTGAGCATCATTAGCTGAAGGTTGAACTTGACCATGGTTTACATAACACAATTGATATAAGCACAATGTTATGATCAACTTTTTCATTCCCAGTATAAAAAGAGAGACTGATTGGAGGAGAAATTTTAATGTTAACTTTTACACTTTAAGCTATTTTCAAAATTTTTATTCTTTGACTATTTTCTTGTCGCTAACTATTCATTTCACTTCTAATTCACAATTGTAATGTAATTTTCAATTTAAACTTATCACAGTAAACTTGAAAGAAATTTTGATGACAACGAAATGGCCGATTGTATCACAAAGTATTTTATCGCTGGCATAATCCCGACAAATTGATGGGCGCACAAATGTTGATATTTCAACTTTTCATAATAAAAGAGTTTTCTGAGAAATTTTTCAAAGAATCACAATTTTATCAGAAAATTTGACAATAAAATGGAGTTTGTCTAAAATTTTGAAGCACACACTTTGTTGATCTTTTAATCCTCACTTAATAATCCAATTGGATTCTACAACAAACTCAAGATCGACTTTAATCACCAAATTTAAATATAAAAATTGATTTCTTCAACAATTTGTCAACTTTATCGGTTGATTAACATTAAGCGTAAAATTCTGAAATAGACGAAAAGATGGGAAAAGAGCAGAAAAAATAAGTGAGAAAACGATTCTGACAGTTCATGGCAAGAATTTTCATCGAAATAAAAGTTGAGTTGAATAGTGACACCTATTGGTACCCATCATAACTATGAAAAATAAGTTGTTCTCCAAATTGCCCATCAGATGGCGGCATAGAACAGAACTCGTTGTTCAACATTCGATTCTGTCTCATTGGTGATTTGACTGCCTTTTCTGTTTGATCATTCGCTCTGAATAAAGATAAAACTTTCAAGCAAATGTCACACTAAGCTACTAAAAGATTTCCTCCTGAAATGTTTCAATATTGAAAATAGGAGAAAAGCAAACAACCTCAAGGGAGTGAAAAAAGTGATAACAGATAATAATTAATGATAATCATTGTTTTAGCAGAAAAAAAGTCTGTTACAATCAGTTTCAATAATGTCAAGATAATGAGCTGAACAAAAGAGAAAATTTCCACAATTCGACTCTGAAATTCCAGGTCCCATTAACACTCTCAATAGCATTAAAATGTCAACAATCACAGTGAAAACTAAACAAACCTTGATTCATTTCAATCTCAACATCTTAACATTGAATTAATATCAAATGAGAAATGTTTCTTTCTCAAGTTTTGGTGAATCGCTAGGAATTTCAGAATTTCAAAGAAATTGCAATTTTCTAATTGATGCTTTGATCTAACACACAAGATCTCATTAAGAAACTTTTCATCCACTTAAAACTAGAATATTTTTCCTTTATTTTTTAGATTGAATCTTTGATTGTAAATTCACTTCAATTTATACCAAAATTATAACCTCATCATGAAATAATCTCAACAGCATTGACAACCTTTTTTATACAAAAGCAAAAAGCTCAACAGAATAACAAAATGTTCTTGATTTGAATAAGTTTGCCATCAACTATTTCCTGTTGGTCAATTGAACCAGTAACAATTTCCTTCCATCGCTATTATTGTCCAAATGAGATTAAAGGTTCAACTTTTCAAAGCAAAATTTGTTCAACTTGAACAGTTTCAAATGAACAAAAAGTTGCTGAAAACATGAAAATTTTGAATGGAAAACGATTAACAAAACTAACAGAAATACAAAATGTAATAATTTCAAAACTTTTGTATCTATTTGCTTCGATTCAAATGAAGGTACTCTACGTGATGTGAAAAGGTTTCAAAGGTCATAAAAGTATAAATAGAATGTCCTTTTCTGGTGCAAAAAGTAAATATTGAAAGGCTATCAATAACGACATCAACAATATCGATGTATCAACGGAATGGAAAAGTAATCAAGAGAAAAAATGAGCCTAAAAAAGAGTCTAAAAAAAGACTGAAAATCAATTGTTCGATAATGATGAATATCATGGAAATGTAGCAAAAAATAGCTCAACATCAAGACTCGAGAAAATGGTGAAAGAAAAAAAACTATTATGTTATCATTTTCAGATATCAAAATTGTGACAAGTTAGTTAAATATCGAGTTTTGTTTTTTCTCGAATTTTTTTTTCTTCCACTTTTGAAACCAATCTGTATCTATTATATCGAGTTTCAATAACATTGACTTTTGCCATGACACAGAAAGTGAATTAATAAAAGGCTGGAAAAGTTGGAGAAAAAAATTCTTGTACAAACTTGGAAACCAACAGAGAGAACGATATAAAAATGAGAGAAAAAGGAAAACAATTTCAACATTCAATATCGTCGCAAATGGCAAGAGAAAAATATTCATCATTGGAATGATTTTTCTGGACAAAATTGATAAAACAAAATGAAAAGTATTGGTAAGTGGTTAGCGAAGGGAAAGAATTTCGAAAAAAAAGTTCCAACTCTTTATTCGTTTCATTTTTCATTAAATTGTTGAACATATTTTTTTCTCATTCAACTTTTATCGATTTACACTTTTTTGGAAGAAACTATTTCAATCTACAAATGCATGTGAATAGAATTGATTTCATGGAGAAAAAAATGTTTCACAGAATTTAGTTTTCCTTTATTGACACAGTTTATCAAGTGTCCAGTAAAGGGAGTGAAATAAAGCGATTCAAAATGATATTCATAAGATGATGGAGTTGACCCAAAAAAAGCATTTCCAGTCATGAAAATTGATTCATTTGGGCTCATTAAGGTTGGAACTTTTTCTCTCTTTTCTTCTCTTTATCACATCTCTATTATCATTCTCATTATCACCACTTGAAGACTCGACTTTATTGATTAGGAAACATTTTTTTCTTCTCTTGGCTGTTCTTTTAATATGAACATAAGGGTTGTTAATGATGATGATAATATTGTTATTTGGGAACAATTAATAAGAAATTAATGACGGATAATTGAACAAATAACAATGAACAGAAAAGTAAAGAATCAGTCTGATTAGGGTCAGTGACTGTGGAATAAGAAATGTTGGTAAGGAAATCAGTTGATGATGGGAATAGTGAAGAAGGAAAAATTCTGGTCTTTTTGCTCTTCTCCTCTCTCTCCGATAAGTGAAACAAATGAATGCAAGTTGCCTTTTTAGTTGGTGTTTCACTACTGATAAATGAATAAACGGATGAATAGTTGGTTGAATAGAGTTTTGCTTAAAAGCTCAATCCAAGCATAATGTTAATACAATTTTCATGTGTTCTGTGTGTGTGTGTGAACAGCTTTGAATATGCCTCTTCATCATTTATGTATATCAATCTTGTTTCATTATTTATATTTCATGTTAACAATTATTTGCATACAGTTGCGGATCAAAGTGGAAATTGAATTTTTTTTTTTCGTTCTGTCCCGTTTTAGAAGTTTTTTTTTCTGGAAATGATTTTATTTTTTGTTGTTGCTTTGGTTTACTGTTAAATTGAATTGAATCAAATTGGGACTTTAGGTTGCAGCTTAGCTGAAGCTCCATTGAGTGTAATTCCGAGCACAAAATGTGTTGGGAAAAAGCGTTTAAGATTATAATGATGATGATAAGAGACGATCAGGTAGATGATTATCTTAAGAGGATAAAGTCAAACCTTTTGTTACTGTTCAGTGATTTCATTGCAAAACTTGCTCTTATCCTTTTACTTTGTTCAACTTTTTTTTCTGAGTTTCAGAGTATTTCAAATTACGATTATCAGAACAGTCTTGGAGTTAGAGTTTGCATTGAATTTAATGTTTCTGGCAAGGAATGAGATAATACAATGATTTACTTTGCGCGTTGAGCAATAACTTTGCGAAAAAATCATTCCTTGAATTTATTCTTTATTAATCAAAGTACACTTGAAAATAGCGAAGCAAGTAATCGGAAAGGAATGGAAATAAGCGATAAACTGATTAACGGCCATGAAAATTGTGGATACAAATTTTCACAGATTAATCAAACTTGAACATAATCAATATCAAAATAAAATCAAAGTTGGTTTAATTATCGAAAAATGAGAATGGATGAAATTCTCAATTCTATTTTGTAGCAAGTTCGAAGTTGTCGAAAAGTTTAGACGAATTTGTTAGCTGTATCGATTAGAATGAATGAGCAATTATTCAAATTGTCGAAACTTTCATTATCAGAGTTACACCATGAATCACTCTGGAAGAATATCAATTGAAATGACAAAAGAAGCAACGAAATGTCTCAAGAGAACGAAAAAAAACGATAACAGATAATAAATAAAGATAATCATTGTTTTTGTAGGGAAAAAAGTGTTAACAATGAATTCTATCATCTGAAGATAATGATTATTAGAAAATAGAGTGATAATGAAAACATTTATCGACTTTGGAATTTCTCTAATTCCAAGATGCAAAATGTCGAGATTGTAAATTCCAAATGAGCCAGATTTTCCCACTAATTTCACTCATTCCATTGTAAATCATGTGTTGTCACAAGTCAAGAGAAGAGTGAAAATTCATGAAAATCTACCAACATTCAACTCATTTGGGTCATGACTTTTCAATGTTCACCTTGAAATACACCAAGAGACATGAACAATTGAACAAAGTGTCAAAGGAAAAAGATGAAAGTGAAAAGGTGTAAACCATTAGAAAAGGTAACGATGACAAAAAAATAAAGTGATTTTGTTGTTGCTCTTTATCCAAATGTTGATACAGTTGATTGTCATCAATTTATTCAAACAATTGATTGATGATGATTCAATGTTAATGATACAAGATAATTCTTCACATTTCATAATTCATTTTCGCACCTTATTCAACACAAGATACAACTCCCTTTTCTTGCTCAATCTTTCATGCACTTACAGTGATAAATCAGTTGCAAGTCAACATCCTTTTATAGTCGAAATTGAATTACTTTTTCTTCCATTATTCAGAGCAAAATTCTTGGAAATTGAAGAATCATAATTTTTCCCTGAGAAACCAATTTCCATGTAAAATCACAAAACATCAAACGAACAAGAAAAAAAAACGAAATCGATTTTCTTTTGACCAGAATTCTAAAAAAGCTCAACAAGAACGTAACTTTGTTCATCTATGAACATTTCCTCGAAGTTTGAGAAAAAGTATGAAGAATGCGATGAAAGAACATTTTCGTCGAATCATAAAAATGGAAGAATAAAATCGAAATGGAATAAAATGAGCGAAAAATTCATGGAAAAATTTGATTTTAGGATTTTCCTCTGTAATTTGAAATTATCTAAAAAGAGAAAAAAAAGTTGCCTAGAAAATTCCAAAATTGTCCTGATTTGTATCGATAAGGTAAGGAAAGATCATGACCTTAAAGAAAAGAAGCAATTTCAGAATTTTATCCCTTATTTCAGCAGAAAAAAATAGAGACTCGAAAAGAAATTCAAACATGTTGTCAACCATTTGGTTCGCTTCTTTTCCGGGTAAACATTTCTTACCTCATTGAGAAGGTGAAAAATTGTCCCATAAAAGATTAGATAAAAGGTTATAAAGTGAATCTAAAACAAGGAAAAAGATGAAGATGAAAGGAAAGGTATAAAATGACAAGTGAGAACAAGGGAGAAGCTTGGAATTGATAAAAGGTTAAATCAG